GTGGGACCTCAATCAACCTGCTCCATTTGGTTGGGGGACCTCAGCCCCTCTGAGCAGCCAGGCACTGCCCCACACTCCGTGAGACACAGGGCCTGCCGTGGAGAGTCGGTGGGTCAGACTTCATCTCCTTGGCCATCCAGCCTCTTCTCCCACTTTCCTAACAGCTCCCAGTTTCCTCTGGGTAGACAACATCTCCCCTTTATGTGCAGGAGCAGAGCAACTGCTGATCAGTATCAGGTCCCTGAGTGAGCCATACCCGTCAGCTGCTTTGGGGAGTTGGACTCTTGAGAGAAGTTTGCTATGGAGTTTAAAAAAAAAAAAAAAAAAGACAGAAAACATTCCTTCTGTCGTGGCTCCTTGACAAGATGGCGGAGTTGTTCCTGGAACTCAGTTCCTGGAGCTGCTCTGTTCCCCGACCTGGCTCTGGGGCTGTTTGCAGGCTCTGGGCCCAGCCTTCCTGCTCTTTCATGATCCACTAGGTGTCTGTTCAAAGAGTGTCTTTTTGTTCAACCTCCATAGAGCTAGTCTGGCTGGCAAAGAGCCCTATCTGATACAAGGATGTTTGTGAGTTATTTACTTACTATTTTCAAGACCAGGAACTTCTGAGGAGCACAGCAAATATTAACTCATTAATACTCATGATCCCACGAGCTACGTACCACTTTCTTTATTTTACAGATGGAATTAGTGCATGGGGTGGGGGGAGCAAGTCTCATGCCCAGGGATGCACAGCCACGAATGATGCTGGATGGTCCCAAATGAGGAGCTGGAATTCCACCTCCTGTGCTGGCTTTGAGAACATAGTCTGTGTTCTCAAACACGAGGCTCTGCGGCCCCTCATTACAAATTAGAACTGTTCACAACACCAAGAATAGTCAATAAGAGCCAACTGCAATTGAGGCTTAATGAAAAATAAAAGCTGTGATAAGGACGATATAGAATCATATTTACTGACATGTAACAGTGCTCATTATACACAAGTAAGTGAAAAATACTGATTAAAACACATTTTATTATTAAGACAGTATAACCATTGCCCCCTCCTAGCTGGTACTCACCCCACCCTCATTCCATTACAAAGCCTGGAATAATTTTCATCAAATTGGCAAGCATGGTTATTCTCCTTAGCCGGAGAGGACTAACAGGCATTGCGCTTCTTCGTGGTAGAAGATGCAAGGTATAATAGCTTGGAACTTTAGAGGGGATGTTCTGATATGCCCCTAGCAACTGAACCCCTAAATACTTACCTATATGGCATATACCGGAATTCTTAGTAGGGCTTATCTCTCACCATCTGAAGTAAGTGTGATTCAACAAGGCTTTCAGAACACAACACTTCCTGCTTCTCAGATCTAATTTACATACTGTCATAGTGATGGTTAATTTTATGTGTCAGCTTGATGGACCAGAGGACACCCTGTTTAAACATTATTCCTGAATATGTCATTGAGGATGTTTCTGGATAAGATCAGCATTTTAATCAGTGCACTCAGTGTGGGCGGGCACCAGCCACATCATTAAGGGTTTGGATAGAACAAAAAGGGGAGAAAGGGAAATTCATTCTCTGCCTGCCAGCTTAGTTGAGCTTGGATTCACTTCACTTACTCTCTTGGATTTTCTACTCTCTTAGACAGGGATTTACATTATCTCTTCCTCTGGTTCTTGGGCCTTCAGACTTGGGCTGGAATTATACCTCTTCTTTACTGGGCCTCTGGCTTGCAGGTGGCATGTCGTGGAGATTCTTGGTTCTGTTTCCCTGAAGAGCCCTGATTAATACAGTCATTGCTATAGCAGACCAATGTACTGTATTTTAGTGACCAGGCAGACTAGGTTCCTTCCAGCTATGTTTTAACAGAGAGAACAGGAAAATTCAGATGGTCCCAGGGCAAGACTGTAAATATGGACTGCTGTCCAGTTTATGTGAACATGAACTTCTGAACTTCTTCTTACCCTATTTCCTACTAGGTACGTTAAAAGCACATGTAAAAGTTGCATAGTGTGTACACCATAAGCCATACTACTCAGCTCTAATGAGGATACCACATCCAGAACAACAGCTGGCTTGGTCCTACAACTTAATTACAGTTATCTATTATTATTATTATTGTTGTTGTTGTTGTTGTTGTTGTTTTAGAGAGAGAGAGAGCACGTGCAAGCAGGCTGGGAGGGGCAGAGGGAGAGACAGAGAAAATCTTAAACAGACTCCACACTGAGCATGGGTCTTGATTCCATGACCCTGAGATCATGACCTGAGCTGAAATCAAGAGTTAGATGCTTAACTGAGTAAGCCACCCAGGTGCCCCTTGATTACAAGTCTAGTAGCCACGAACCAAGTGGCTTGACTATTTCACCATGGGAAATTTCAGTTCCACAGACTTCCACTGGGAATTTCTTAAGGCAGTCATTATTATCTCACAAGGCATTTTATAGGTTAAAGGACCAGTTCATCCAACTCTCATGTGTGTCCTGATTATATGCTCAGGACCTGGGGTGGCTCTAAGGATTGAGTGGACCCCTTGTGACATGGATATTACCTGACTTCCATATACTCCACTCTAATAAGGATCGTGTTGGGGCTTTGCCTCCCTAGAGTAGCATCAAATCAGATGTTGTATTCAATAATCTTTGAAAAATCTATGTATTTTCCATTCTCTGACACATAGTTCTAGATTAAAAGAACATCGGTCCTTTAGGTGAAGATTGAAGAAATCACTACATGTATATTTGCAGTTCTCATTTCCATCAGCAGGTTTTGGGTCCAAGAATTGACTCAGGCCTGGAAACTGGGCAAGGGATCTTGACTTTTCATTGGGGCAGCTGAACTCAGTTATCTGATCATCAATTTTTAATCACTTTTGATGGTATATATGAAGCAGTCTCCTTGTTGGCTACCCATCTGTCTTCCTATAAGAACACCATGTCCTATTAGCTATCTCCAGAGACATCCATGGACCAGGCCCCCTGGCTGTCATTCCAACCTTGCTCTCCATTCCAGAAGTTACATCATCTTGCTCTGACAGTTAAATGCTGCCCTTTGCTTTTGTTGTCCACTCATTTCCATTGCTACTAGGGAATCCAGTTCTGTAAAACATGCTTACATTTTTCCAACCAACAGAGAGTAGCCCCTGCTGAACATCCCAAGAATGCTGGTGCCCCCTCAGCAGTGCACTGTCACCTGGTTAAGTCAACGTCTCTGAGGCTTCCTGAGGAACAGTCACCTGAAGGATGGGATTTCCAACTGCAGAAAGCAGAGCCATGCCGATTTCACTTTGATTTAGACTCCCCCTTTCCATAATCTGTCCCAGCAGGTCCAATATCTCTACTTCTGTTTTGTCTAGTGTGAACCCTGCCTTACAGCAAGCCTATAAGAGCCACCCAGGAGCACAGTAGAACCATCACCTTGCCAGGCTAATGAAGCTCTGTGGCACAGCAGAGTGCACCCATATCAACAATTCTCCTCTTTCCAGTTTTGCATCCCCCTTTCTTCATTTAGGATCCAATCCCAGACACAATCCCCTGGCACCTGCTGGTACACACTGGCCAGTCCCATAGCGCCATTGGACTAGAAACGCTCTCTTCACCTAGCAGCTGTACTCAGGACATTCCCAGTCAGGGCGTGTGGAGACTACTCTGCAGGGTCCTCATTCAGGGAAGAAGTGGGGTGATAAGATCTGTCTCCAAAGTAGGGGCAGGAGTTCTCTTCTGAAGGCCCAGTGGGTTCAGGGGGATCTGGAGTTCAGAGTTCTCATATACATCTTCCTAGAGAGCCCCTTTCTGAGTTCCAGGGCTTCACTTCTTCTTCATTAGTGCCCTCCCTCTGACATTAGAGACCATCCTGAGCTTAGAATTCAGTCTTCTCTAAAGTTTTACTGTTCTTAAAATTCGGGTCAGGCCCTCCGTACTGTCTACTCTCCAGCTGCACGTATGAGGATCTCTCTGTTTAGGTGGTGATTAAAAGATTTAAGCCTGTCATTTATTCTTTTCAACATATTAGAGGCACTTAGCAATAACCATCAAAACCCATGGTTCTGCTATAAACACTGGGGTACAGATGGCCCTTCTTTTCACTACATCTGTATCCTTGGGGTAAATACCCAGTAGTGCAATTGCAGGGTCATAGGGAAGTTCTATTTTTAATTTCTTGAGGAATCTCCACACTGTTCTCCAAAGAGGCTGCACCAACTTGGATTTCCACCAACAGTGTAAGAGGGTTCCCCTTTCTCCACATCCCCTCCAACACATGTTGTTTCCTGTCTTGCTAATTTTGGCCATTCTAACTGGTGTAAGGTGATATCTCAATGTGGTTTTAATTTGAATCTCCCTGATGGCTAGTGATGATGAACATTTTTTCATGAGTCTGATAGCCATTTGTATGTCTTCATTGGAGATGAATACCCAACTTTTGTAGCAACATGGACGGGACTGGAAGAGATTATGCTGAGTGAAATAAGTCAAGCAGAGAGAGTCAATTATCATATGGTTTCACTTATTTGTGGAACATAACAGATAACATGGAGGACATGGGGAGTTAGGAGAAGGGAGTTGGGGGAAATTGGAAGGGGAGGTGAACAATGAGAGACTATGGACTCTGAAAAACAATCTGAAGGGTTTGAAGAGGTTGGGGGAACCAGGTGGTGGGTATTAGAGAGGGCACGGATTGCATGGAGCACTGGGTGTGGTACAAAAACAATGAATACTGTTATGCTGAAAATAAATTTTAAAAATGTTTAAAAAAACCCCCATGGTTCTTAGTTTTACTATTTCTCTTTTCATAAATGTCAGGCCATCATATCAGCTGGTGTGCCTCTTCCCCTGGAGCTCATCCAGTTTCCTACAGGTGAAAGTTTGGGCAATGGCACTGTTATAACATCCCAGGAACTATCAACATTCTGCTTGTCACCATCTGGCTAAGCAGTGATCCAACATCAGAACTCTATCCTTAAGGCCCATTTGCTGGGACAGTTACCTGAAGTTGGGTTCCCTGGAAGCAGAGGCTGAGATAAAGTCTCTTAAGTAAGTGATTTATTATGAGAAGTTTTTCAGGAGAAGAAGGGAGAGGGAAGAAGGATGGCATGGTGGGAAAAACCAAGCATGGATATGGTCCCAGCTGGAGACTAGCTCTAGCTTGATCTTCTGGGGAATGCATGAGCATGAATCACACCAGACATTGGTCCCACCTTGGGGCTGGGGGGCCAGCTCCCAGGTCCAAGAGGTGTTAACTCCAGATGAAGCTGGCACTGGCAGAACACGATATTTTGGGGAGAGGAGGCATCCGCAGCCAATCCTCACAGTGGATGGGAGATGAAATTTCTGCCCCAAAAGGGAATTTTCCAGGATACCAACACCCTCCACTATGCCTGTGAACTGCTCTCATTTGTTTCTTCAATAGCAAACACTTCCTTGAATTTCCTCTCGAATTTTTCTTCCAGTCTAAGTCCCATTAGGCCAAAGTCATTGTACTGTAAAGAAAAAAATTATAAGGACAAAAATAACAATCCTCATTGTCAGTGTTATTAGACACCTTGCAATCAAGAAGTTTGAAGACCTTGCTTAAACACCTAAGTTACATTAACCAGGTGACACTTTAAAATTCATGCAGCTAAGAGTAACTGTTGTTTCCTAAATGCACAATTACTTCTCATTAAACAGACAGGGATGGGAAATCATTGCTTACCTGAGACTTTGACTTATTTGGTTTGGGTTGTTTATTTTAGTGAGACTTAGAAAAGTCATCTATGTTCCTTGCAACCATCAAAGAGCTAGTAGTCTAACTACAATCAGCCATCTCCTTCTAGTCCTAGAGGACTTCTAGTCCTCTCTGGTGACCCTGTAAGACTACATACTCCACTCACATGCAAAGGAGTCTGAAATTGGGACTTCTAAGAGTTTCCAGTGAGTTTATCTGGGGAGAGATAAGAAGGACGACATAACTTTAAGATGCAATTCTCTCCTTGTGTTTGAAGCGGGCAGGACTCCACTGTTCTTTGGGGACACCTGTCACGTTGGAGCAAGGGAATGAGCTCTCAGGGGCCTGGGGTTCTGGTTGCAGAAACAGCCTCTGACTCACTCTTACCCTGCTATGGTGAGCTTACGTCCTGAATTAGAAAAGTCACTCCCTTCCAGAACCCTTCCTTGTGCGGGCTTGTTGTAAGGTGAGGGAAATGTAAAATTTTCCAGGCACCAGACTATGAGGGCAGAGTGACTCAAAGGAAAAAAAAAAATGAAATGAAGGCAGGGAGAGCCTGTACCTTGTAAGACACCCTGTGGTTCTGAAAGATGAGACGCATGTCCTGCACGAACTCCCCTACTTGGCGATAACCATGTTTATTCAACTTCTTCTTGATTTTGTCCAACCACATGGGTTCCTTCAGGTTTTGAGAAACCTCTCTAATCTGGTAAGAAAAAAATATCAATGGAAGAGTTACTGGCATAGTTCAATGTCCCCAAATCCAGCAGAAACACAAGGTACAGATAATGGTGGCTCATGCTCTCTGTCTCATGGGATTCAGATCACAAATCCCTCCGGCGCCTGTGTGAAGGGCCCGGAACATCACAGTGGCCTGGAAGTGTGGTTGGTTGTTACTACTTACATAGTAATAATATGGGATCTTCGAAAAAAATGAGCTCTCTGAATGGCAATAAACCTTCAAGAGGAGGAACTCACATTTCTGCAAAAGAGGAAGGCTGTGAATAAAAAGTCATTTGGTCAGGGTGGGGGTGGGGGGGCTGTTTGGAGACATTAAACCTATACACATGCCCAGGCAGAGATGTGACTCACACCAGTGATCTGGAAGTTTCCCCAAACATGTTTGGCTCTTGGAAACAGACATGTAATAACTGAGTTATTTCTTCCACAATCAAGTTCTGGTATGATTTCAGCATGGTTGAGACATGGCTTGGATAAACAGACTCCTTTGGGGCGCCCTTCCCCCCCCCACCTGTTGGACTTCTCACATGTACAGGATAAGGAGAAGGCTTGGGGTTTTCACCCAACTCACCAACTGCTCCTCAGGCTGCATCTGTCTCTCCAGGACCTCAGATTCCCCGTGACATGGCTGCCTTCCGAAAGACTCCATCCTGCAGATGGTGCAACTCCATGGGCTCCTAAGAGGTTGGGCACGAGTGGACAAGGGCCAGGGCCCTGAAAAAAGACCCTGTTCCAATGGCTACCACTATCCTCCTTTCAGGCATGGCTGATGGACACAGCTGGGAGATTAAGGGGTGTCCCAGAGTCTCCAAGACCCCCAACCAGAACTTAAGCCTACAACCCTCTTCCCATCTACAGTGGTACCAGAAGACTCAGTGCATGGAGGGTGGTGTCAGGGTGAGTGGTGTGCTCTCCTTCCCCTGGCAGAGCTGCTAGGAGCACAAGATACCCTGCCTGTCACACCCAAGTGTCAAAACTGGGCCTTAACCACTGGTGACCCAGGTTTCTATCAGCCCATTGAGCCCTTGGTAAAATGCAGGAACCAGACAACGTTTTCTGCCTTTTCTGAAAAAGCACAAAATGCAAACAGTTGATGTTCCCTTCTTTGTGAATAGGGGCCTAGGCTGGAAAACTCCTTGAAGGGACAGTAGCAGTATGAAGGCAAGGGATGCAACCACCACAAGCCTCAGCATCCCAGCCTCAGCAAAGAACAGTATTATTCCCTGCCAGTGTCTTTAAACATCTCTCTGGACCATACTACTGGACCCCAACATCCGACCCTGCTCTTTCTCTGCTTTGACACATAGGTTCCTCCTATTGCGGGGGGAAGGCTTCCTAATCGGGGCCAGGGGACTTTATCTCACAAACCTCTCGGTTTCCACAGGTGGGATGTGACAGTACTCATGAAAAGATCTCGAACAAGTATCACAGCAGAACAGCTTTCCTCCGTTCCGGCACGTCTCACACATGTCAGAGTTTCCCAGCTAGAAGGTGAAAAAAATGTCCAGGTCCCTGGTGAGATACCGACAGACCACTGCTATGGGAATCTAGAATTTGAGACCTTTGTGCGAACCTGCCTGGACACATCTAGCTTCTCCCTGAGGTATGAAGGAGCACCATGGGGTGGAGGCTTCAAAAAAAGTTACCTTCTTCAGTGACACTTGGGAGGAGGTGCCTGTGTGTCATGCCAGAAAGTCCTCCCTATAAAACCAGAGTATCTAACACAGAAAGACTAGCAGCAAAACAAGAAGATGGTTTTACAGGAATCTGAATACTGTTATTACTTTGCAGATAAAACAAGTTCCCAAGAGAAAGTGTTAAATGTATTTGCCTATACCACAAGGAAGACAGATTTATGGAAAGATGAAATTTTGAGAATTTAATAAGATAGCATAAACCCCTTAATGTGGAAAGTGATAAAAGATGAAAAGACACTCATTAACAATATTTTGAGTCGTGTTTTGGGATTTGGGGTGAAAATACTTATGTTGGATGAATTGGGTTCTGGTTATTTCTTTTGTTTTTAAGAATGGCCATGTATGAGGAGGTGCTAACCCCAATGAACATCTAGCCAAATTCTCCCATTCAATGTTCCAGGGGATCCTCAAGGATATCTCCACTGGGGCTGAGACTGCTCTGGCATGAAGCTGTGGGGCCATTTTTCTTCTCATCAGTGCAGGCACTCATAGATTACTATCATCAGTCTCTAGGAAGTGATGACCACTCTCCCCAGAAGGACAATGAAATAACAAATTCAGCCAGTGTTTAAGAATCTGCCATTTGTATACTTCCTAACAGATACATCTGTTTGTTTCTTAGTCCAGCTGCACACTAAACTCATCCAGGAAGATTATGTAAAATTCTAAAATCCTGGTCCCAATACCAGAGATACTGAATCAATTGGTCTGGGTGGGCACAGCCATTGGTGTTCTTTTTAAATTCATAAAATGGGTAATTTGTGCATCAGAATCATTTGGGACTTTTAAACAATCCTAATGTCCAAAACATAGCCTAGATTGAATAAATCAGAATTTCAGAGTGGAATCTAGGCAATGTTATTTTTCAAAGGTCCTCAAGTGATTCAATGTTGAGTTAACCCAAGTTGAGATTTAGCCTGGTTATTAGGCTTGGGGATATTATAAGTCAATGTTGGAATGGCCCATAGTATCTACCCCTGGAAAGATTATGAACAGGGGTGAGGGTCTATGTCTATCCCAAACAAGCCACACAACACTGGAATTGAGGGCTGTTTAGATGATTGAAGACTCCCTCAGTTGGCCAAGTGTCAAAATCAATGTGGATAAGATCTAAATCTTGTTGAGGGATTGCTCTGAAGGTATAGTGTATACAAACCCATCCGAATACCCCTCCTCTGTTGGATGTCCTGTGTCAATCTTACTGCTTGATATCCTCTGTGAGAGCTGCCCCCTGGAGTTGTACAAAGATGACTCTGCTTCAAAAGTTTATTTTGATGCAATGAAAGGAATCAAAGTATGATTTAGCATAGAGAGAGCAGTCACCCATAATTTTGACAGAAATTATAGCAGGTAGCCATATGGGACCACCCTGTGATTGGCTATGTGGTGATGGTTTCAGCCCTCACCACATTAGCACCTTGATGGCTCCCTCAAGACTGGAGACATGGCCTCCAAAAAAGGCCACTTGCCCTGCATGCACTTCTCTGCAGGACTCACAATAGGGTCTACCCCCTGGAATCATCACCAGTTTGGCCAAGCCTGTTCCTTCTGGTGGATCTTAGCTCTGCCTGTACCTTGGAGTGGATGTTTGTGATTTTCCTTTCCTCCCCTATTGCCTTATTTAAAATGCTATTCTCCCAAATTTGCTCCTTAACCCTAATCTGCTGGCCAGCTCTAGCTATTACCACTTTAGGCCCTGGTTCTAGAGACCCCAGTGGTCTAAAGCTCTGCCTCCTACACTCACTTTCAAGGGGAAATGAGGAAACAGGAAGGAAATAGGAAATAGGAAAATAGGAAAAATATTTTCACACAGGGACACCAACTCCAGAACCACCTCCCTGGTATGGGTGCCGCATCTGCTCTTCTCCACTCGTCACACACAGCGACACATTCCAACTGATTGTGAGCATGCTTCAAGGAAACACAGCAATAACAGTGCATAGAGGAACAAGGCCTCGATTATTCTGGGGTTAGAGGTATAGTACTTACATAAGGGTCAACCAAGATGTTGTCTTGAGGCTTTGGTATTGTCTGTTGAAAAGAGAGAAAGATTGAATGACAATATTGAATACAAGGATTGCACCCATCCCTTATTTAACAGCTATCTGTGCAGGAATTCAAGCCACAGTCTACCCATTATTTCATACTTTTTGTATGGACCTATATATCTACTTGGAGAATAAAAAGCACCACAATACCACTGTTTGACCCAATGCAAACTCAATTTCCTGGATTTCTGACCCAAGGTAGACCTTTATAAAACCAGGCAGGGAGTCCAGCCCTGGTTTCCACAGATGGAGTTGGAGAAACTCCACTGGTTCTCCTATTTTGAAGAACCCTCAGGCATTTTTCTCTACTTAGAAAGTATCATCCCACCAGGAAGAGTTGCATTGGGAGAATCAGGTTGAGAACTCATCATCAACAGCCCCCAGTGACCACAGGACCCAGAGTCCTGGAATCCATGGAAACATACCAGAGAATTGCACTGACTTTTGCAGTCCTCTTAGGGCACAGCCTCAAAGATAAAATGTGCCCAAGGTCCCCATTGTGGCAGCTTTTCTTCCAGAAGATCATCCTTCTCTCTCCTCCCAAAAAGATGTCAGCTGGGAGACTTTTCAGAGGTAATTGATTATCACTCACTAAACTTACAGTGCTTTTGCATATTCAATAGAATGACCAGGCATCCTTCCCTCTGTAATGTGGTTTTTATCTCCAGCCCAGAGCATAGTAGTCATAGACAAGCGTGATCCATGGGACAATGACGTGAGAAGTGTCCAGTCATTGCCTGTCTCTCTGGGTGATCTAAAATCTCCCACCCCTCCCCAGGTTAGAATTTGAGGTTGAAATAATCCTTGAGGTCAGGAATATTGTTTCAATCAACTTTAATGACCACTAGATATTTAGTATGGGCTTGACAATTATATGTTGAATGAGTAAATAAGTGACTATTACTTAGCTTAGGAAAAGAGATTACTTGCTATCTCTTAAGAAATATTAGCATACAATATACTGGAGGAATATATTATTTTGCAACACTGCAACTGTCACCAAAAGATATTAGTGGCCCTTGTCAGGAGCCAATAAGCTATCATGTGATATCAAGAGTGATACTGAAGTTTCTGAAAGCCAAGGGGCTCCAACAGCAAAAGAGATTCTGGGAGGCACAGAGGACCATAGGGATAATAATGGATTGTAAGATCTTCCATTCTGGAGAGAGACGTGGAGAGACGCAAAAGGTTAAGAGAGGAGAGACGCAAGATATAGAGGCAGCTGAAGCTTGTTGTAGAAAAGTATTGCACCTATAGATAAGGGTAGATCCTGTCGATAAGAAGTTGTCAGTTGACAAGAGTAATCTGACTATTTTATCTTATTTTTTAAAGTTTATTTTAATTTTATTTTTTAAGTAAGCAGTATGACCAACATGGGGCTTGAACTCATGATCCTTAGATCAAGACTCACATGCTCTACTGAATGAGCCAGCCAGGTGCCCCAAACAGAGTAACTCTTGACATCTGGGAAATGATACAGATGCTGGTCTTTAATATACTAAACTGATCAAATAATAGTTTCCCTTTAGGAAATCCAGTGGATGCAATGTTCCAAGGACTGAAAGTTTGAATGATCCAGAACATCAGAAAATCACATTCCCAGTGGAAGATGAAGTTTCATTGGCCAGCTAGGCATGGCCTATCTTAGAAGTCTATGAATGTCTTAGATGGCCATTCTTACTTGAAGTATGTGAGAATGACACTTCTCTTCTCCCCCTCTTTCTCAAGTTCTTGTTCATACTCGATCTTGGAATATCCATCACCTTGGAATCTACACTACACTTAACCTGTTTATTTGTTGTCTACATAGACTTCTTCTATAGAGGAAAAAACCATTTTCTCAGATAGAAAAGAAGTCTCTACATGCCCCCCCGCCGCCAATGTAGCCAAAAGGGTAGCCTCACAGTAAACAATTTTCCAGATCTGCCCCTCCCATATGATACATCAATCTCCCAAGAAGTTCCTTCCCAACAGCACCATCCTCAAGTAAGGCAAGTAATTTCCCCTGAGAAAAAAAGGTCTGTGAGTACTTTTTAATGAAAGGTGAAAAGGGATGAAATGAATTAGAAAAGGAAATATGCCTTTTGTTTCCTATCTCATGAAATGATTTGGTTTTGTCTATGTCCCAGAATGGACTATCTGCTAGAAAGGGGTTGTCTGAATCATTTAATGAAATCACCATTAGATTTCATTAAAGTTGGACAATAGTAACGATGATTTAAAAAATCTGTATTTGAGTTGAATATGACCCTGTACCACCCTTTTCCCCCTAAGATTTATTTATTCATTTAAGAGACAGAGATAGAGTGCATGAGCAGGGGGAGAGGCAGAGGGAGAGAGAGACAAACAGACCACCTGCTGAGTGGGGAGCCTAACATGTGGCTCAATCCCAGGACCCTGAGATTGTGACCTGAACTGAGATCAAGACCCAGATGCTCAACTGACTGAGACATCTAGGGGCCCCAACCCTATCTTATTATGAATTTTTTTTTGTATTGCATAATCATGTTTGCTTTTACAACTTTGACACCCTTACAACATCTGCACCTACAGTTAAAACATATATATGAGGTCTGTTTTGATGACTCCTTATCATCTCTACCTCAAATGATTTATCATTCAAAGAAGATCTTGCCTTTTATACAGCATAATCTTCGAAGTAGCAACTCTGAAGTCACATGCCCCCCCCAAAAAGGGGGCGGGGGATGGAGGAAGATGAATTATAATTATCCAATTGAATACTATAAATAATTGTGCATATAATATCAGTTATGTGATGAGAACTTATAAAAAGTGACTAATAATCACCTTTCTTCTCCTGAAATATTTTCTTGGAGGATTATGTAGAAGTCCTTTCTGAAAGATAAAAAGATCCAAGTTTGTGGCTAGCCTATGTTTCTATTTTGTAAGTCTGGCACTTCCAGACTCCTCCCATATATTTCTACATGGATGTCCCACTGCCAGATCAAAGCCAGGGTGGTTAAGTGAAAAAATATCTCCCTCTTCTCAGCTGTACTTCTAGAATTCAATCAGTGGTTAGAATTTCAAGCATTGGAAAATCATCTTTAGAACATTTTTCCTTTCTCTTGTCTTTTTTCCTAAGTTTTAAGAGGTTTTCCTTCATCTCTTTGACACCTCTCTCTTGTTTTCCATTCTCACCAATGCCACTCATGCTGAATCCATACACCAGGACTATTCAATCAACACACATTTATCCCATGCGTACTGGGTATCAGACATTCTGGACAATCTTGGACACACAAAGATGGACAAACCCTAGTGGTATCTTGAAAGAAAAAGAGAATGCATGGAAGGATAAATATAAAACAGTATAATAAAGGTCTTAGTAGTGGGCTCATGGAGTCCAGGGAATGGAGGACCAGGCTAGGTCATTCAGGGACTATTCAGAGAAGGGAGACATTTGATATGAGCATTGCAAGTTGCATATAGGTATCTTTGGCCTGAAAGACACTGAAATCATTTCAAGCCCCCAACGTTGTCTGAAATACTGTTTTAAATATGTCATTGCATGCCTCAAAAGACCTCACTGATTTTTCATTGTCTATATTACGAGTTTAAACTCCTTAGGCTGACATTAAATCCTTCGTAAACAACCCCCATTGATGGATCACCCCTTATCATACACAGCCAGTCTACCCCAACCCACAGAGCTACTTTTGTTGTGGTTCTGGTTTTTATGCCATTCTTTTTCTGGAGCCTCCTCTTTCTATTTGTTTGACTGTAGACAGTCTTGTTTCGGTGCATGAAGTTTTCTGCATGCACTTGGGTCACAGTGACCTCTCCCTCCTTCAAGCTCTGGCCTCTATCCAGACAGAGCCCCTTTACAACATTAATGTGCAACATTATAGGGAGGTTAAGAATGTGGGGCATCTCTCCCTGGGTCAGCAGATAAACTCAGGGGCATCAGATTTTTAGCTATAACTCAACAAAAATTTGGTGAGCAAATAATGACTGTACAACAAGGAAAGTCACATCTACTCCCGTCCTTGGAATACCTCCATTAGCCATCGTAGGGGCCTCCCACCACAACGCACACTCATCCTCCAGTTCTTTGATCTTTCGTGGCCTCCTTTGACTTCAAATTGCTTAGGGGTGAACCATCTTCCATCCTCACTCTGTATACACCTCACCAAGACTCCTGTAAGACCAGAGTAAGTTGAGCCTCAGTCCTCTTTGTCTTCAGAACTCAGATGATGAGCTCCCACCACAATGCATCTGGAACCACCCAATTTGGGCTCAAGATTTATAGCAGGAGAGTCTAGCTTCCATTTTCAGCCTTTGGAATGACCAAATATAGCCTGTAAGACACCTTAAAGGAGATTTCCTGCCTTGGGGCAACATTTCTTTAAAACTTTGTACAATAAAAGGTGATAATTACCATCAAAATCAACCTTTTAAAAGTATTTCAAAATCATCTACAAAGGAAAAGCACATGAACCTGAAGAGTGAGAGGATCTCAATTTGCTGGGGACAGAGAACAGACCAGTCTCCAATAGCTTTTGGAACAATGTGAAGGAAGAACCTCAGGTTGAGACTGAACTTAGAATGGTATCACCTGACATCTGGAGCCTTTATTACATTTTTTAAAATCCAGTGCAATGGCATTATTAAGCAGAGCTTTTCCCTTCCCTGAAATCATGGATAGCTGATATTAAAAATAATTATGAAATGTTACCCAGTGGAAAATTAAGCTATGCATAAAAGATAATCATGTGCTAAACAGCATTTCTCAATCATTGGGGAAATGCAAATCAAAAATATCATGAGATACCGCTTCATACCCACTGGGATGGTCATATTTAAAAAATCAGACAATATAAAAAAGAAATCAGACAATAACAAGCATTGACAAGGATGTAGAAAAATTTGGGCTCTCAGACATTGTTGGTGGGAGTGTGAAATAGTGCAGCCGCTGTGGAAAACATTTTGGTGCTTTCTCAGTAAGTTAAATGTAGATTAAGCATATGATCCACCAGTTCCACTCCTGGGTATATAACCAAAAGAATGGAAAACATTTGTTCCCACAAAAACTCACACATGAATATTCAAAGCAGCATTATCCATAATAGCCAAAGAGTAGAAACAACCCAAACTGATGAATGAATGATGTATATGGTGTATTCACACCGTATGAAATATATTATTTGGGAAAAAAATGGAGCACCAATACATGCTAACACATGGATGAACCTCAAAAACATCATGATAAGTGAATAGCACAGTCATAAAATGGCACATATTATATAATTTCATTTATATGAAATACCTAAAATAGGCCAATTTATGAAGCAGAAAATAGATTAGTGACTGCTTAGGGCTGGGCACCGGGATGAACTGGGAATGCATACCAACTACAAATAGATGTGGCATTTGCTTTAGTGGGGGATAGACACATATGTTCTAAGATTAGATTGTGGTGATGGCTGAATAATCCTGGGGAAACGCAAGCAAAATTCAACATTGAATTGTACACTCTGAGAGTTGAACTTCATGATATGTGATTATATCTTAGTTAAGCGTTGAAGTATTTTACATTGATTATGTAAATTAATTCCTCACAGCTATACTGTGAGGCTCTCCAGTTCTAAATTCTGTGGTCTCACCGCATCCAGCACCCTGTCCTGGTGGTAATCATCCATAAGGGAGGAAGGATATGAAGATTGAGGCTGAGGGCCTCTTCCCTTTTATCTCTGGTTCACTTCTCTTTGGTTCTTTGGGCATTGTGGGAGTGATCACTTAATATGTATAATTTCTGGAAGTATAAAAATGTCATCTTAGGGATCCCTTCCTCCTTTCCTCAATTCCTTGAATGTTGTTTAATTCACATAGGTAATTCCATACTGTAAATCAAGTAGACCATGGAACCTACCTCGTTTCAGTCTCTTCTTATATAACATCCCCTTCACCTTACCACAGGTCACAGGAAGTATTTGAGAGTGAAAATTCACACTATCATCTCTGCGCCTTCTTGACCCTGAAAGAGAAGATTTCCTCATTCCACCTCATTTTGCAAATGCACATGCACCTCTCTAACCTTGTGGATTTTGTTCTTGTAAAATACAGAGGTGCTTAGGGAAGTCCATGCTACAAATCTCTAGCATCAAAGGCTTTCTTTCATGTGATATTTTTGATACATAACTATAGAATGTCTACCTCCATTTTACCCTTCAAATCCCACACAAACCAGAATGCTTTTACAGAGAAATAAGTCTTCAGTAAAACTGCTTTATTCCCAATCTAGTTAGCCTTGCTGATTCTTACATGACAATGAATTCTTATATGAAATTCTTGAATTTCAATTCAATTTCAATTTCAATATAAGAATTCAAATAAATTCTTATATGATTCTTATATGAAACACACAACAGCTGCCTTGTTCTGAAGGGGTGTCTCCAGCCACATTATTTCACCACAGTTAGGTAGCTGGAAACAAAGTGAGAGACTGTACTTATGTCTCCCTAGTTGAGATCTGACTCACTGAGCAGAGAGAGGGGAATGAATGACAGAGTAACCCAATGGAGATGATGTCTGCCTTCTTTCGTTTTTGTCTCTGTCTCTTGTTCTTATTCTTGTTTCTGCTTTGCTTCATTTCTCCCTCACATGAGCTTTTTTCACAGCTAGAAGAGGAGCTCAGGAACTCTAGAACAATCTGTACACTGCAGAAGGGGAGGTGGCTGGCGACCTGACTCTGCAGAAGTAGGGATGAAAGGTCTTCAAAGTAGCTAACTCAAGGAGAATGTGTAGCTGATGCTGCCCTTCCAGCTGATGTTTAGAACCATGATGGGAGGAGGGAATGTCTGTGGTCCAGTGTTGAGCTGGGTAGACTATCAGAACTGCAATGGACTGAGAATTATTGGCTTAATTTTCTCTCTTGCTTTGTGCTCAAGTGACAGGCCCAAGCACACACAATCAAAAGTAGAGAAAGGCAAAGACTACTGACCATGACTCCAGGCTACCTGTAGTATGCAACCTGTGACTCTCTATGTAGCAAAAGAAGGATCAACTAAATAATGTGGGTTATATGGCAACAGATGATTTCCAGCTCAAAATTTATCAGTTCAGTGAAGACGGTGTCATTACACTGGCCCCTGGACCCACAAGGTCTGGTCACCAAGTTACTTGTTTGTGGGATTATCTTGTTTCTCTTCCTCATGTATTTTGAAAATGACCCAAATTATATACATCTTTCAATAGTTAGTAAAGCTATAAAGCAATTAGGGAAATGGGTTTATTACTAAAATCACAGAAACCAGGAAAGCACAGGAAATTAGCTGTTTAGTTATTGAAAGTTATTCCCCTTTTCTTCTTTACCTCTTGACTGGAATCTTTTCTGTGGGGCCCTTTCACTATGAGTTCTGCCTCTCCTTTTCCCTGATAAAATAGAAAAATATAATAACAATCACAGACATGCAGTTGCATTGCATATATTAGTGCTTTCCAAAATTTCCATTTAGGTATAACTTCCCCAAAGCCTGTCTAATGGATAAAGAAAAATATATAATCCCTAATGTTAAGATACCAAGAATTAGATAGCCAATCTTAGGTTTACCTTATATTTTATTTTTCATAGTCCCACATTAGTAAAACAAAAAACAAGTGAAATCAGCATTCCACTGATACCTCAAGCAGTCATGTGTTAAGGGCTTAATATATGTCAATTGTACATCTACTAATTTACTTAGTCTTTCCAACAAACATATGAGATCAAGATGATGATTACTGCCATTACAGAAACTAAAATGTTCAGAGAAAATTGGGACAAAAACTATAAAGTTAAGTGAAGGCATTCCAGGTTTCTGCTTGTGGAGAAATGGAAATAAACAGATGTTCTGTGAGGGGAACCCTACGACAGGTTTTACACATGAGACACATTCCACACACCTTGAATGAAGTGATTTATACGTTTGTGCTGAAAGTGATAATAAATGTGACCAAGGGCTTTGTTTACCTGGGTTTGGACAAAGATATTAGATTCTAAGAAACTACCAGAAGAAAACTAACCAAGAAGAATGGGTAGAATTGAGTCTTCCAAAATCTTAATTTCAAATAGTTATTAAGAATTGACTTGGTAGGTTTCTGGGGAGTGGAGAGGGAGGGAGAGGGTGGTTGGGTTATGGACATTGGGGAAGATATATGCTATGGTGGGTGCTGTGAAATGTATAAACCTGCTGGCTCACAGACCTGTACCCCTAGAGCAAATAATACATTATATGTTAATAAAAATAATTTTTAAAAAAGAATTGACTTGGTAAGTGTCATCAGGGAATGTTCTTACTTTTTGCAAGTTTTGGCTATGGATATGCATGTCTGTTTGCTGTCATTCAAATGTGCTTTAGTTTCTAAGGCAGGAAGACAAATTCATTTTCTTCTTTCTGTGTTCAATGCCCCACTATCTGGTGGTACTAAGTGGGATTATGTAGACCCCATAAGGAAATATTTTCCAGACTACTCAGTCCTAAGTGCTATAAACTATAAGCAGATTATGAGCATATTAGACCAGCAAAGCAAAAATAAAAATCTTTCTTTCAATTAAACCCAAAATGGACTGATTGCTTAGTAAATAGCCCCACTTTCTGGACTTTATCCTACACAATTACTGAGAGAGTTTTCATCTCTTCAAGACCAAAATGGCCCCATGGACGAATATTGATAATTAGACTTTATCACAACATCAGACAAGTTATAGACTCGCAAGTCATCACTCATTGTTATTTAACCATTACAACCTGGGGACACAAAAATTAGTTATAACCTGTCTAACATTATTTAACCAAGATAAAATCACCAGAAACAAAAGATTGGTAAATTTCTATAAGAAAGTAAAAGACTTGGCATGGGCTAAGGAGAATAACTAAAAAGGGTGAAACTGTGGTTCTCGAAAGAATAATCTCGAAAAAGAATAATCTTTTTGCCCCCTCTTGGTTTCTCCCTCCAGAAAGTGGGATCACCAGCCAATAGAAGGTCATCCACCCAGTTAGCTCTCCAAGGGACTCTCCTCATCTCTTCTTCACCCAAGATGGTAAAGTGGTTACGGACTCTCTGGTGCTCTCTCATTACTCTCCTGAAGGTCTATGCTCACATTACCAAGAGAAGAGATCCAGATATCTTACTCTTACCCTCCTATATCCCAGTCAGGCTTGGCACTAAAGCTCTAATCACAGCCTTGAACAACCCAGTAAATAGAGAGTCTTTTTTGGTCTCCATCTGTCCCTCTCCCTGGTTACATCTTTCCTGGGACTGGTAGCTATGTTAAACTTATCTTTCATCAAACCCGTTAGGCCTAATATTTTTAGGGAGAAAAAGGAAACACACTGAAATCCATTCTAGCCTGTGGAGCTTTTGATAGAAGGAAACCTAGAGCTTAAAACCAGCTAATTTGTAATACAGCACCGTTGTGTTTTCCTTTGAAAATAGAGTGACTAAGCAAGACAGGATCTAACTAATTTTTGTGTCCCCAGGTTGTAATACCCATTTAATAATACGGAATCCCCCACCATGAATTCTATCTTGGCATTTAATATATAATTTAAGGGTTTTTTTAATTGTTGGGCTTGGTATTAATCTCTAATAGTAATTGTGACAGAATTTTAAATTATTTCCTGTTTTCCCAAAATTTTAGTAAAAATCTCAATAGATGGGAGCAATTCACTAAGTGCCAAGGAGGGTAACCAACTGTCCCAGTCCACTTAGGATTAAGGGGTATCCCGGATGCAGGGTTTTCAGTGGCAAAACTGGTAATGTCTTGGGCAAACCAGGGTGTGTTGTTCACCCTAGTTTCAAGCAATCTGCATCACAAGGCAACGGGACCAAGTCACCTATGTGACCATACAAAGTATCAGTGGAACAGGTTATGCCAGCTCTAGTTCTTTACTCATATCCATGCAGCAGAAGAATGGCTACATTTCTCTGCAAAAAAGTCAAGCAGTGGTGACAGACCACACTGTGGAGTTGATGAAAGAATTTCATAGAGGAAAGAGCTAGCAATTGTGTACCCTGTTATCTCTCCAGTGACACACTTCCATGTTCTTATCTCTCCTCTCTCATCCATCCCCCCTTCAATCCTGGGGTGGCCCAAACCAGTAGCTGTTGAGTGTGGGTGGAGCCAAGCAAGAATGTGAGAAGAATGTGACCATGCCGCATCCCCACTGCAGGTGGCCCAGACAGAGGTTTGCTCAGGCTGAAGGAGGGGAGGTGCTTTGAAATGGAGAAAATATTGAAATTTTAATACTACTCCCAAAAGGACTCTCAACTACTGAAGAGGGACTTAACTCTTGTGACAAGGGAACAGGAAATCTATCAGGCATGCCCAAGTCAGGAAAAACTCATCCAGAAGGTAGATTTGAAAGGGCAGTGAAAAAAAGAACTTATTTTCTACCTGTAATTTACCAAGTCTGGCCATGTTAATAAACCACTGATGCAAGGTAAAGAAATTTCCACAAAAAGCAGATAAAACTCAGGGAAAAGATTTTTAGGTCCTGGGCAGATAAAAACTATTATATAAATGCAAACAATTTATAAGCCTGGCTCCAAATGGGTTTGCTTTCTAGATTTTGCTGCTCTCGAACTGACTGATAACTTAAGCTGTCAGTTTAAGTTTGCTAAATTTGTATTGACCCATGGGGCCAAGTGGAAGTGGTACAAACTTTATCTTACCCCTCTTTGTGGCACGTCCTTGCAGACGCATTTTCACTTTTCTCTCACCGGAGACCAACTGGCCATCAGTGTCGCTTCTTTCTGGGGATAAGCAGGGGAAGATACAGAGTTGGACAAAACAGCAGTTGACATGAGAGACCAAAAGCAAGTGAGTAAACACCAGATTCAATTCTGAAGCCCCTTTTCCTATTCACTCAGCCAAGAAAGCCTGTTTATGGTAAGGCATCTCAAACAGGTGTCTAGAGCATACTCTACTTTTAGGAGGGAGGAGTTTTAATTATGTACAAGATTTTATTGTACTTTGGAAAGTACAAAGTGGTTTAGAATTTATCTATGTGTTTATCTATGCACACCTAAATGAGAATGATATAATAATTAAATCCAAATATTTGGTATTTTGAAAATAAGTATTCTTAAAATAGATGCTGCCACATATTTTTTTTTTTTTGCCCAAACAAAACTGTACACATTCACCAACAGGGTAGTCATATAAATTGACAAGAACATAAGATACAAGGATTGGTGAAAATTAATAATTTTAATTGGACTTCAAAATCTTATTATATGGCTCTGTTCTAAAATTGATGATCACATAGAAAATGAGGTCTAGGTCTCATTTTCTAGAAGGAAGGAGTGCTTTAGACCACTACTGAGGGACGCCTGGGTGGCTCAGTTCATTAAACATCCCACTCTTGATCTCATCTCAAGTCTTAATCTCAGGGTCATGAGTTCAAGCCCCACATTGGGCTCCTTGCTGGGCCTGAAGCCTACTTTAAATAAAAAAAAAGAAGAAGAAGTAAAGCATGACTGAAATAAAAAAATTTCAGAGGTCCAACTAGAAGTAATACGTAATCTATTACTGGAAATGTAGAACATAAAAATTATATGAGATATCACTATTCTAGAGAGAGGCATAATTAACTTGTTCAAAAATATTCCCCTAGGCTTTTGTCTCTGTATATTTTACTATTTAAACAATATCTTTTCATTGCAAAATTTGAACATGTTTAATACTTTCCATGTACACACATACACTTAAAAAACACAAATAATAACACAAATATCACCTATATTCCAATGACCATATATAAACCATTGCATATATTTTTATTGATGACCATCTATTGATTTTTCCATATATCCATATCTATCTCTCTCTCTCTATAGACAAATACATATAAATAAGAATTTACAAATATCTAAAAATACATTTGTATAAATATATATCTTTTTGGTTTTTAACCATGTGCACAGGTGCATGCCCACCTACACATACAGGCTGTTTTTTGCATTTGGCTTTCTCTGGAACATCTTACCAAATTAATACAAATTTCTTGACCCAGCAGAGAAGCCACATATGGAGGATGGCACTGTCTCCTGGGATCATTTAGCTCTGGGTGATTCCGTGTTAAGAACTAAGCCATTTTGTGCAAGCCACTATGTTTTCAGGCCTCCTTGTTACAACGTCTTAGCTTATGTCCTCATGGTGCAGCCGCTAGGAAAGGGTCAGGGCCCAAGCAGGGAGATAAGAAGCAGGGCCTTACACTGAAGTGCTTACCTTTTTGATGTACTCTTCCCTGATATCTCCTTTTAATCCTTGTCCAGGCATGGCCTTTCTTTTTTCCTTCAAACAAAAGAGAATAAAGTTAATCATTCAGAACTGTAAATATAATTCTCAAAGCCATAGATGTTAGTAGTTTCAAGTACTTTTTCAGGCCACAAGAACAGGATGAAATTCTTAAATACCAGTGCAGCTGTGAGAGGCTGACTACGGAGTTATGCTTTACTCCACACAGAGCTGGGAGACTACAGGAGACAACCTTTCTTTGAAAATTAAAAGCCAAAACCAAAAAACGCTAAAATTGGAAAATAAACAGGAGTTTATTTGTAAACTCCTGTTTACAAATGAGGCATTATTTCTAAACAGGAGTTTATTTTGGTGTCTTAGCCTGAATGACCACATTTGGGGACGTATGTCAATGTTTCCTCTTCAAGTGTCAAATGTGCCATGAGGAGGCACATTCCTCATAGCTGGATAGCGTCATGGATAATATGCCATGTTGGAAGTTGGGAGATGTTCTCAGCTTTGAAGTGGAGACTTAAACAATCTCTGTACTTGTAGTTGTGACACAAGTCCTCCCACTTCTGTGCCATCTAGTCCTGGAGGACTTAAAGAAACCATAGCAGGTTATGTGTTGTGCAGCATATGAACACATAGGAATGTGAGAAGACCACTGGCACTGGGTAAATAGAGATCTTATCTTGTCACCATTGTGAAATAAAAATAGCCATCTACTAGATTTTTACTGCCAAGAGTGAAGACCCAATCCATGGAGGGAGGCCTTATGACTCCCCCTTGAGATTCCCATTCTATTTGGAGGTGGATCTACTCAGGCTCTAGGACTTACAAGGCAGGAAGGGCCTATAAATAAAAAGCCTTGCTCATCAAATGAAAATGATATGTGCAAGAATTCTGGGATTTTGCCCCCTTGGTACCATGGCTTTCCAAGACCCTGCCCAGGCCTGTGTAGGGGTTATGACTATGTGCCAAGGTCGTGATAGACCTGTCTGTCTCTCAGTGGGGAGAGCCACATCACAAGGGACTTTGTTCCTGACTGCTCCAGGACATTGATCAGGCCTTGACCTCCTCTGGGAGCTATGGGTGGTGCCTCAACACCATCTACACTTCACCTCACAGACCAGCTGACTCTGGCCACACCACTGTGGCCTTTGAAACTCATAGGTGTCGGAAGCATGGCCTGCACCATTAGTAGTCTGACAATGGTGCCCTTTATCAAAAAGCTCCTTCCCATGCACTAATTGTCTGACTCTATGTCCCTCATCTCTTCCTGGACACCCAACTCTGGAAGGCTCCTTGGTCAGTGAAGGCAGCTGTCCCAGAAAGGGATTAGTTCGTTCCTGCATCAAGATCAGGATAAAAGTGGTCGGGGATTAATGGTGTTAGAACAATTCTGAGAATTTAGGATTCTGTTCTGCCTGCTCTTGGAGATGATGCCTCATTCTTTCTCCTATCAGTCTGGAGGGCAGAGCCTTCAGAGAGCCTGGGGGATTCAGATTTAATTCTGATCTGATTACATTTTATGAAAATGCCCTTGTCCCATTTGTATCTGACCCTCAGGATAAAAGTCAGAGTGGGAATAGGAGATCGTAAGGAAAGGAGATGAAGTTACAGCCACCAAAACAAAACAATACACACAGATATTTTTATTAATTTTATTTTTTATGAGCATATAATATATTTTTATCACCAGGGGTACAGGTCTGTGAATCGCCAGGTTTACACACTTCACAGCACTCACCATAGCATATACCCTCCCCAATGTCCATAACCCCAACCACCCTCTCCCTACGCCCCTCCCCCCAGCAATCCTCAGTTTGTTTTGTGAGATTAAGAGTCACTTATGGTTTGTCTCCCTCCCAATCCCATCTTGTTTCATTTACTCTTCTCCTACCCCCTTAACCCCCCATGTTGCATCTCCTCTCCCTCATATCAGGGAGATCATATGATAGTGTACACACAGATTTTGTGGCAGAAAAGGAAGAGCAAAAATCCAGACACCTGTACAGCCTAACAGGTATGGTGGAAGGGGAAGCATCAATGATATCTGTCTTGCAGAACTGCCCTGAATCCTACCTCCAGAAAGAAACTAACCCAGTACATATCTCTTACCACAGACATGATGAGTCTACCTTTCTGCATCAGACAAGAAAACAGAGATTGGCCTCAGCATCTACACATCCCATGCAAGATTCCTCTGGACATCATCCCTACCCCTACTCTCAGTCACTTGGGAGGGTGGGCAGTTAGGGAAGGCTGATGCCACTTGGTTTGTGTCATGGACAGAAAGGACAGATTGGGATGGACTATCCTCAGGAAGTGCCCCCCCAACTGAACCCCACCCCCAAATCAAGGACTAGATGCAATGAATGAAACTGGGAGCTCCAAGGTTCATAGCCCGCCAGAGGCCCACGTTGGAGGCACCATCCTTCTTCCCCTGGTTGATGTATGTTCCATTAGGGAACCTCAGCAACTATAAATGCTTCCCTTTCAGAGCCACCATGTGTGTCCCTGGAATTGCACTTCTTGTGTGGAAATACACTTCACTTGCCCCCTTATGCAAACATGGTAAATTATACTTTAGGGTTGTCTTTAGAGATCTAAATCATTTATACTTTATGAAATTTGTTAAATACTGCAGGAAACAAATTGAGTGGATTTTGTCTTAGCCTACACTGGCCAAATTAATCAAAATGGCTGATGGAGTGGTGTCTTCATGGGTAAATTTACCAGGATCTGCTGTATTTGGTAAATTTGTGGGAAGGCAATTTTCCATGGCATTTCCACATGCCTCAAAATATCTTTGCAAGGGTGTTTGAGTAACAAACAACCTTGGAAGCCAGAGATAATGTAACCCTCTAGGTCAGAGAGTGGATTTGTTTACTGACCTGTATAAAATAGAAAACTCCCTCCTCTCCCCAGAGGAGATTTGTTCAAGCTCCAGCTAATAATAAAATGTTTCCTTCAAGGGTAAGGTTTGAGCAGGTGTGCCAGCAGCTTCCTCCTAAGATCGAGGTTTCTGAAGTGTGGTATTCCTCAACTTGAGCACAGCCTATGTGTGCCGCCTTACCCCCAACATGGGTTTTCAGGGAGAAGAACTAATGTACCTATCCTATATCCCAGACATTTCATTCCTAGGTATTTATACAAGGGATCTGAAGGCATGGAGCCACAGAAAGTCTTCTACAAGATTGTTAAAGTTCACTGCAGCTTTTTCATATTAACAAAAAAACAGGAAACACTTGCAGTATGTGTCAATAGGAGAATATATATACAAAATTTGGTATACTTATATACTGGGTGATACTTTGCAAAGAAAATGAACAAAATGTTGATATATCCAACAATGTGAATAAATCTGAAAAATATGCTGAGTTAAAGAAACCTTAAATCAAATGAGAACATGCTCTAAAACCTCACTTATTTAAGGTTTTAATACAAGCCAAACCAACCTGCCGAGAAAACTTAGAAAAGTGGTTCTCTCTTATGAGTGATGGATAAGGCTATACCAAAGGACATAAAGGTTCTTTGCAGGGGGATGGTCATGTTCTGTATCTAGATAAGGATTTGGATTATAGAGGGGGAATGCATTTATCAGAATTCATCAGATGATACACTTCATATTTGTGCATTTCATTATAACGGTTATCTTAAAAGAAAAAGAAAAGAACTGAAAACAAATAATGAATTCTAGTTAATGATATGCAGGTTGAAGTATTTGGGGGGAAGTGTACTGATATCTGCAATTTTGAGATGTTTCAAACTTGAAGATGGGTTAGTGAAGAGAAGGAACAAATGGATAGATGGATGGAAACATGACAAAGTAAGAATAGTATAATGCTAATTATGAATCTACATAAAGTATCTTGGTGTTTAAACAAAATTCTCCCAAGTTTTCTGTCCCTAAACGTTCCATGATTCAATCATGGCAAAAAGAGCTTTGGAAAGAAAAGAAAGATTATTTACCAAGCAATGACACTTAGAATAAAAGAAGAATTTTCACCCACCACACAATAATTTGATAAGACGGCACATTAATCACCTTACTGTATTGAGGAGAAATAAATGTCAACTTAAAATTTTTAATCTTGCTAAAAAAGTTCGATCAAGGCAAATTTGCAAATATAACAATTTAACATATAAATTTGCAAATATAACACTTGGAGAGTCTACCACTTAGAGATCACTCACTAAAAGAACCAAAAGAATTAAGTCAGCTGAACAAAAGTCAAACCCCCTCCCCCCCAAAAAAAAAGAAGAAGAAGAAGAAAGAAAGAAAAGAAAAGAGTTCTTTCCCATCTTGGAAGATGGCGGGTGACAAAGCTGAGATGCCAGAAACAAGGAAGAAGGAACTGGAAGCCAAGAAGGCTGATGCTGGTAGCAAGGTTAAGAAGGGGAACCTCAAGGCTAAAGCACCAAAGAAGGGGAAGTCCGACTGTCGCAGAAACCCCATCCTTGTCAGAGGAAATGGCAGGTATTCCTGATTGGCTATGCATTCCAGAAAGGCCACATACAAGAAAAAGTAATCAACAGCTAAATCCAGGGTTGAAAAGGAAAAGTTTCTTGCTACTGTCACAAAACCAGAATGGCGGTAAAAAATACCTACAAAATATGTAGGTATTATCCTACTGATGATGTGCCTCGAAAGCTGTTGAGCCACGACAGAAAACCTTTCAGTCAGCATGAGAAAACTGCAAACTAGCATCACTCCTGGGACCATTGTCATCCTCCCTGAGGCAAGAGGGTAGTTTTCCTGAAACCACTGAGCAGTGGCTTGCTACTTGTGACCAGACCTCTCGCCCTCAGTCGAGTTCCTCTGGTAGAACACATCAGAAATTTGTCATTGCTGCCTCCACCAAAATTGATATCAGCATTGTGATAATCCCAAAACACGTCGCTGAAGCTTACTTCAAGAAGAAGCTGTATAAACCCAGACACCAGGAAGGTGAGCTCTTTGACAGAGAGTAGAAGAAATATGAGATTACAGAGCAGCACAAGGTTGATCAGAAACTACGGACTCACAAATTCTGCCAAAAACCAAAATT